AGCAGCTTCACAAGTCTTGCATCCATTGAACTTGTGAGTTTTTGGACAGTTTCTGTTTGAATGTGTTTGCAAGATGTCAGAATAGCCTCCCAGAGCTGCTGTGTGGATGTAAACTGCCTCCACCCTCATAGATCTTTTGCTTGAGGATGCTCCAAAGGTTCTCAATAGGATTGAGGTCAGGGAAGGATGGAGGCCACACCATGACTTTCTCTCTTTTTATCCCCATAGCAGCCATTGATGCAGAGGTATGCTTTGCAGCATGAGATTGTGTATTGTCATGCATGAAGATGATTTTATTACGGAAAGCATAGTTCTTCCTTCTGTACCAGGTAAGAAAGTGGTCAGTCAGACACCCCACATACTTTGCAGAGGTCATCTTTACACCTTCAGGGACCCTAAAGGGGCCAACCAGCTCTCTTCCCATGATTCCGGCCCAAAACATGACTCCACCACCGCCTTGCTGACGTCACAGCCTTGTTGGAACAGGGTGGCCATCCACCAACCATCCACTACTCCATCCATCTGGACCATCCAGTGGTGCACGGCACTCAGTGAACAGGAAATTAGTCTTCGTGTATTTTTCTGCCCAATGCAGCCATTTCTGCTTGTGAGCATTGGTTAGTGGTGGCCGAATAGAAGGTTTATGCACAGTGGCAAGACTCTGGAGACTCTACATCTTGATGTCCGTGGGACTCCAGAGGCACCAGCAGCTTCAAATATCTGTTTGCTGCTATGTAATGGTATTTTAGCACCTGCTCTCTTGATCTGATGCATGGATCTGGTAGAAATCTTCATCAATGTGCCTTTATCTGCATGAACCCGTCTGTGCTCTGAATCAGCCACAAATCTCTTAATAGTGCAATGATCATGCTTAAGTTTTCTTTAAGGCTTCTCCAATGCAATGTGGCGAGATTGGTCTCGTCACATGAAGCTATAAGGAAAGTAGAAAAATTAGAAAGAACAGAAATTTTAAAATACAAAGATAATAAAGAAATTAAAGAAATATTAAATGTCCCATTTATATGTCAATATTCAAGAGGACATAATTATAAAGTATGTAATATCATTAAGAAATATTGGCCCATACTTAGGGATGATCCCATTTTAAATGAAATTTTAACTGATGTACAAAAAATAATACATAAAGGGATCCCTAATCTTAGAAGAATTTTAGTGAATAATGTTTTGGATGAACCAAAAAGACAGGAAAATTATTTTTAAATCAACAGCAAGGCTTTTTTAGATGTGGTTATTGTAACGCATGTACTAAAACAGAAAATAAAAAAACAATATATTAAAGATTGTATTGTAAATAATATTACGTATAAAATAAAAGAAGGTATTACGTGTAGCTCTAAAAATGTTGTTTATATGCTCACCTGTACGTGTGGTTTACATTATATAGGACGTACAACGAGATCTTTACATACACGTATAGGTGAACATGTTTATAACATAAAAAGAAAATATGCGTTGCATCAAGTGTCAGCACATTTTACACAATATCACCAGGCCGACCCTACACAATTAAGTTTTATAGGAATTCAACAAATTCAAAAAACATGGAGAGGTGGAGATTTTAATGAAAAAATAGGAAGAGCTGAGAGGCAGTGGATCTTCGAATTAAATACTATGATTCCACATGGCCTGAATAATGATTTTGAAATTTGTCATTTTTTAAGAAATTAGTTAACATATTATATTAATTAATTATTTTAGAATTCATTGAAAATATGGTCTTTTTTAGTATATGATCTTTTTACATAACTGTATATGATTTTTATTTATTTTTTAATTATTATTTTTTTTTTTTTAAATGCTTTTAAAAATGTTTTTTCATATATGTATTTTTTAGATCAAGCAAAGCCCTTTCCATTTAAAATACATATTTTATATATACATTTTTTAAAAGGGCACAGATTTGAATATATTTTCTATATGGATATATATATATTTTTAAACTATTTATTTGAAACATTATGATGTATTTATTATACGCTAATCACTTGTTCTCCTTTTTCCTTCCTTTTCCTTCCATTTAAGCCAATATTGTTTTAATTTGCTTTTAAGATGTGGTATACTCCTAGATATGCTGTCAAATTTGATATATAAATGTTTTTTATAGTCTATTTACATGTAATTTGCAATTTTGATATATACTTGTTGTGGTAATACCACAAGATTGTCATATGCTACTGTCATTTTAATTAGATATTATTAACGAACAATCCTTATTTTGGATATATTAAAATTTTGATATATGCATTTAGTAACATATTTTGTCTCTGTTTTTAACTGCTAACATAATATAAATTAGTCATTCATTGGTTAATATATGTAAGTGTATAATTGCGTCCATATTGTGTGTAATTTATTTGCATTATTGAACAACCTATCATAAGCAACTTATGCCCTATATATGCCCACAACCAATATGGAGGTTGTGAGCACGTCCTGAGGAAGCCGTCCAGCGAAACGCGTTGACGTCATGAAAGGGGAGGAGCCTACAGACCACAGAGTTTGAAGCAGTTGTCTCTGGAGATCGGTATCATACAGCAGCATCTAGCCGAACAAGGAGAAAGCTCAACAGTGCTGCCGGCCACCCTGCTATTTTTTAAGCGTTATAGTGAGTAGACAGAAGTTTGTCTCACCACCAAATCCAGAAAGGGGCTAACCACCCTTTTCTTTCACCACTTTTTATTCTTGTTTATGTATTTATGTATTTTAATCCTGCATGTGGCAGACAATAAATCATTGTCATTTTTCCTATTGGAGCCTCTCAAACCAATCAGTGCAGAGATGACTTTCAATTTATAAATAGTTGTATACTTATATATTTGTATTTTTATACAAACAATCTGCACTATTATTGTGTTTTCTCTTCTCTTTTATATATACCATCCTTTATTGGAAGAACCTCCATTCATCAGAATAGTTTGTATACATTTTTTATTTACTGTCTCCTAGTGGTACTTCGTTCCAATCACTATCATACATTATTTCTTCCTTTGGTGAATTTGGGATTGCACCAGAGTGTGAAGCAATTTGCCT